GGTTACAACAACAACGGCTCCCGCTTGAAATTTCCTTACAATTTAGCCAGGACCCCCACTCCCGCCCGAGATCTTTCGCATTTTATTCAAGAATCGCGCTCTCGCTTGGGACTTCCTTACGATTTATTCAGGAATCGTTCCTCCTGCGCTCTGGAGTCGCGCTCTCGCTGGACACTTGCTTGCAATTTACTGAAGAATAGCGCCCTTGCGTTGGAATCTCTTGTATCTTACTCCAGCGCCGCGATCCCGACACCCAGGCACCCAGGAGTCGCGCTCACGCTTAGGACTCCTTCGCAGATTACCTAGGAATCGGGATCTCGCTGCCTTTCGTGGCCCCGTTGCAGCCCTTCGTGGCCCCCTCGCTTTGTTTCGTGGCCCCGTTGCAGCCCTTCGTGGCCCCCTCGCTTTGTTTCGTGGCCCCGTTGCAGCCCCTCGTGGCCCCCTCGCTTTGTTTCGTGGCCCCGTTGCAGCCCTTCGTGGCCCCTCGCTTCGTGGCCCCGTTGCAGCCCTTCGTGGCAGCCCTTCGTGGCCTCCGTTGCAGCCCTTCGTGGCCCCGTTGCAGCCCTTCGTGGCCACCGTTGCAGCCCTTCGTGGCCCCGTTGCAGCCCTTCGTGGCCCCCTCGCTTTGTTTCGTGGCCCCATATATGTTTGCCCTTCGTGGCCCCCGCTCGTTCGCGCCCTTCGTGGCCCCATGTGCATGCCCTTCGTGGCCCCGTTGTAGCCCTTCGTGGCCCCCTCGCTTTGTTTCGTGGCCCCATATATGTATGCCCTTCGTGGCCCCCTCTCGTTCGCGCCCGTGGTGGCCCCATACGCATGCCCTTCGTGGCCCCGTTGCTGCCCTTCATGGCCCCCTCGCTTTATTTCGTGTTCCCGTTGCTGCGCTCAGTGGCAGTGGCCCCGTCCTTACCCTCCGCGGCCCAACATACGTATGCCCTTCGTGGCCCCCGCTCGTTCGCGCCCGTTGTGGCCCCATGTGCATGCCCTTCGTGGCCCCGCTGTCGCCGTTTGTGGCCCCCTCATTGTCCTACGTGGCCCAGGTGCTACCCTCAGTGGCCCCATCGTTGCCTTCTGTGGCCCCGCATTATCTGCCCTTCGTGGCCCCCGCTCGTTCGCGCTCTTCGTGGCCCCATACGGATTCTCTTCGTGTCCCCGCTGTCGCCCTTCGTGGCCTACTTCGTGTCCTTCGCGACCCTGCTGTCGTTCTCTCTCGCTCTCGCTTTCGCTCGTCGCCGTCGTTCGCCGTCGTCGTCGATCGTCGTCGTCGTCGTCGTCGTCGTCGTCGTCGTCGTCGTCGTCGTCGTCGTCGGTCCCCTGTCCGTCCCTCTTGGGGTCGGGTCGACGGTCCGCGGCCGCCCCGCCGATCAGCGCTGCCGCTGGCCAGGCCGACGGTCCGCGGCCGCCCCGCCGCTTGCCGGGGCCCGGCCTGCAGGGAAGAAAGGTGTACCCCCCAAAAGGGGTTCGATCGAAGACGAAAAGGGCGGGTATCGAGGGTTTGGGAAATTCGCGTTATTGGACACTCGAGCCGATAAGGGGAGCACAGTCTTAAAGTGATTGTTGTTGTTGTTGTTGTTGTGGTTGTGGTTGTGGTTGTGGTTGTTGTTGTTGTTGTTGTTGTTGTTGTTGGTGTTGTGGTTGTGGTTGCGGTTGTTGTAGTAGTTGTTGTTGTTGTTGTTGTTGTTGTTGTTGGTGTTGTTGCTGTTGTTGTTGTTGTTGTTGTTGAACATTATTACTTCTAAAGAATAATTATTGTTGGGACCCCTGGTGCACGACCCCCCTCCAAAACCTAGGCCGCAGCTACATTTTCATCATTTTTTCGCGAAAGCTTCAGAAAAGTGGATTGGTACCGGATCCGGTTGTTTTGTTGTAATCCGTTTTCCCTTGCAAAAAACACTATAAAATGAAAATTCTTGTTCTTACTTGATCAAATTGCAAGAATCCCTTGCAAAAAATAAGGTAAAGTGGACATTCGTGCGCGCAAGACGAAATCCTTCCAAAACCTTAGGTTTCGTAACCGATTTTAACATAAAAACATCAAAAACCCAATGGTTTTTTTAATAAAAAATTGTCAAAATGTCCTTCCGCGCGCTCTTGCGGATTCGTAGGAAAACCAACACTTTTTAAACAATTTTGTCAAACGGGCTTTTGCGAGCAACTTCTTCAGGTGCTTTGAACTTCTCCAACAACGGTTGCGCGCCTGCGAGGGCCACCATCCCTTGCAAAAAATGAGACGAAGTGCACATGCGCGCGGCCACCGCGCGCGCATGTCGAAATCCTGCCAAACACGCGCGTTGGGCACTGAGAGTTAGGATCATAGCGCCATGAGTCTATGAGCAATGCATGCGTCATCCTTGGGACTGTATAACATCAGTGTAACACATGTACTTCTGTAATCGCATCCCCACGAATTTGCCCCAAAAATGTGACCAACTATCTTGGCACTGCGTACCATCTCACGTGTACCGTGTACCACATCATATGTAACAGATGTGATCAACCTCTGTGGGTGTGTACCCCACGCCAGTGTAGTAGCCAGGGTCGTCCGCACGCCACGAAGTGAAGTGTCCCAACGTCATAGGGCGGGAAGCTGGGTGTGGGTGGTCTCGAAGAGTCGTTTGGATATTTGGTAGAGCTTGAACGGCCCCCCCACGAATTGGGGGTATTGGCTGGCGTCGCAAGAAAACCCTGGCACTGGGGAGAACACTGAGCGTTCGGGTAAAATGATTGTTGTTGTTATTGTTGCTGTTGTTGCTGTTGTTGTTGTTGTTGTTGTTGTTGTTGGTGTTGCTGTTGCTGCTGTTGTTGTTGTTGGTGTTGCTGCTGCTGCTGCTGCTGTTGTTGAATCTCACTCCTGAAGAATAATTATTGTTGATCCCCCCACCGGTGCACATTTTTTTTCAATTGAAGTGCCCCCCCCGGGGCTCGCACTTTGTTTTTTTGTGAAAGAAAGTCTTCCTGCTCAAACTGGCCCCCTGGCCCCCGGGTTACAACAACAACGGCTCCTGCCTGAGACTTCCTCACGATTAGCCAGGACCCCCGCTCCCGCCCGAGATTTCCTTGCATTTTATTTAAGGATCGCGCTCTCGCTTGGGACTTCCTTACGATTTATTCAGGAAGCGCTCCTCCTGCGCTCTGGAATCGCGCTCTCGCTGGATACTTGCTTGCACTTTACTGAAGAATAGCGCCCTTGCGTTGGAATTTCTTGTAATTTACTCCAGCGCCGCGCTCCCGACACCCAGGCACCCAGGAGTCGCGCTCACGCTTAGGACTCCTTCACAGATTACCTAGGAATCGGGATCTCGCTGCCTTTCGTGGCCCCGTTGCAGCCCTTCGTGGCCCCCTCGCTTTGTTTCGTGGCCCCGTTGCAGCCCTTCGTGGCCCCCTCGCTTTGTTTCGTGGCCTCGTTGCAGCCCTTCGTGGCCCCCTCGCTTTGTTTCGTGGCCCCGTTGCTGCCCTTCGTGGCCCCGTTGCAGCCCTTCGTGGCCCCCTCGCTGCCCTTCGTGGCCCCGTTGCAGCCCTTCGTGGCCCCCTCGCTTTGTTTCGTGGCCCCATATATGTATGCCCTTCGTGGCCCCCTCTCGTTCGCGCCCGTGGTGGCCCCATATGCATGCCCTTCGTGGCCCCGCTGCCCCGCTGTCGCCCTTCGTGGCCCCCTCGCTGCCCTTCGTGTCCCCGTTGCTGCCCTCAGTGGCCCCGTCCGTACACTCCGCGGCCCAACATACGTGTGCCCTTCGTGGCCCCCGCTCGTTCGCGCCCGTTGTGGCCCCATGTGCATGCCCTTCGTGGCCCCGCTGTCGCCGTTTGTGGCCCCCTCATTGTCCTACGTGGCCCAGGTGCTACCCTCAGTGGCCCCATCGTTGCCTTCTGTGGCCCCGCATTATCTGCCCTTCGTGGCCCACGCTCGTTCGCGCTCTTCGTGGCCCCATACGCATTCCCTTCGTGTCCCCGCTGTCGCCCTTCGTGGCCTACTTCGTGTCCTTCGTGGCCCTGCTGTCGTTCTCTCTCGCTCTCGCTTTCGCTCGTCGTCGCGACGTCGTCGTCGTCGTCGTCGTCGTCGTCGTGGTCGGTCCCCTGTCCGTCCCTCTTGGGGTCGGGTCGACGGTCCGCGGCCGCCCCGCCGATCAGCGCTGCCGCTGGCCAGGCCGACGGTCCGCGGCCGCCCCGCCGCTTGCCGGGGCCCGGCCTGCAGGGAAGAAATGTATACCTCCCAAAAAGGGTTCGATCGAAGACGAAAAGGGCGGGTATCGAGGGTTTGGGAAATTCGCGTTATTCGACACTCGAGCAGATAAGGGCGAACAGTCTTAAAATTATTGTTGTTGTTGTTGTTGTTGTTGTGGTTGTTGTTGTTGTTCCTGTTGCTGCTGCTGTTGTTGTTGTAGTAGTTGTTGTTGTTAGTGATGTTATTGTTTTTGTTGTTGTTGTTGCTGTTGTTGTTGTTGTCGTTGTCGTTGTGGTTGTTGTTGTGGTTGTGGTTGTTGTTGTTGTTGTTGTTGTTGATGTTGTTGTTGTTGTTGTGGTTGTGGTTGTGGTTGTTGTTGTTGTTGGTGTTGTTGTTGTAGTTGTTGTTGTTGTTGTTGTTGTTGTTGCTGCTGTTGTTGTTGTTGTTGCTGTTGTTGTTGTTGTTCGTGTTAGTGCTAGTGTTGTTGTCGTCGTCGTCGTTGTCGTCGTCGCTGCTGCTGCTGCTGTTGTGGTTGTGGTTGTGGTTGTGGTTGTTGTTGTTGTTGTTGCTGTTGCTGTTGCTGCTGCTGTTGCTGTTGTTGTTGCTGTTGTTGTTGTTGCTACTGTTGCTGTTGTTGTAGTAGTTGTTGTTATTGTTGTCTGTTGCTGTTGCGGTTGCTGTTGTTGCTGCTGTTGTTGTTGTTGTTGTTGTTGTTGTTGTTGTTGTTGTTGCTGTTGTTGTTGTTGTTGTTGCTGTTGCTGTTGTTCCATTTTCGTTACACAACACATTCGACGTTTCTCGCCACAAGGAGGAGAGGATGGGGCCCTTTGCGCGCCGCAAGCAGGTGCAGCAACGCCTCCGGGCCCGGGCCCGAGCCCGCCTGGCACATGGACGGGCAGCCGTGCGGCGGCACGGCTGTCCTCCCCGTGTGGACGGCGCACCCGGAGGCCCGTCTTCGGCACGATCGTACGCTTCGGGTAGGGGATCGACTACAGTCGGGGCGCTGAAGAAGTTCTGAAGAAGGAACCCTTTGCGTTGGGGAGGGGCTCCGCGTTCCTTAAGTGTTTCACAGTTAGCCTCAGGTTTTCCTTATGTTTTCGATCGGACATCGAAGTTTAACTCATGGAAAAAAGGGGCCTCGTTCCTTATTTTGGGTTCCTTAGGTCAAGCCCCCGACTGTACGACAGAATCGGGTTGCCCCAGGATTGATATTTTCGTCGAGTCTACGAACGACGACCAGACTGCTCGTAGATTTGCGAGCACTCCACGCACTCTGCGTGCATTCGACGAGAAAGCCATTTTCGGAGTGAACCAGTTCTGCAGTCGATCCACTACTCGAATGTTTAGGCCTCTCAGACGGGGTCCGAGCAGATGGTGTCGGAGGATCGGGCCGCATCGCCGATGCATCCAACTCTCTCCGCGCCAGCGTCGCGGATGCATCGCCGACGTCGGCGATGCATCGCCGATGCGCCGCCGATGCATCGCCGATGCGGCGCGGCCCTCCGACCTGTCTCATCTACTCGGGCCTCATCTGGGAGGTCTAAAGGTTCGGTGCGATCGAAATGGGTATGGAAAACGCGGTCACGAAGACCAACAGCGGTTCTTGTCCATCGGGGAACATATAATGACATCAGCAGAAACTGTTGCAGGTCTGGGCGGATTTCTCGGATCGGCGCTGGAACACCCTGACGGCGCCTCTGGCGCCGTCCCTGGCGCGCCAGGAAGGGGGTCCACGACGGATCCAAGAAAATTGCGCGGCCCTTGAAAGTGGATGCTTCTGTTATTATTTGTTCCTCGAGTCCATTTTGAACAGGATTCGCTGTCGGTGTTGTCGCGGGTGTTGTCCATGTGAGGCTACAGGTCGCTTTGCAGCGGGCGCTTTCGGCTTGTTTTTTTTTCCCAACCATCTTGTGGTGTTGGGTCCTCGTTTTGAAGAGACAGCTCCACGCGTCTCCTCCTCCTTCCTCCTCCCTCCTCCCCTCCTCTCCTCCTGCTCCTCCTCTTCCTCCTCCTCCTCCTCCTCATCATCATCATCCACATCCTCGTCCTCGTCCTCATCCTCATCCTCATCCTCATCCTCATCCTCATCCTCATCCTCATCCTCATCCTCATCCTCATCCTCATCCTCATCATCGTCGTCATCATCATCTCATTCGGCACACCCCTCACACGCTTCGTGGCACTATAGAAGCTCCACCGAAGGTCCCAGTGGCACAGTCCGCATGCGTCCCCGCCACTCATTTCGGCCCATTCCTCACACGTTTCGTGGCCCCATAGGAGCTCAGCCGAAGGTCCCAGTGGCACAGTCCGCAGTCGTCCCCGCCACTCATTTCGGCCCACCCCTCACACGTTTCGTGGCCCCATAGGAGCTCCGCCGAAGGTCCCAGTGGCACAGTCCGCATGCGTCCCCGCCACGCATGTCGGCACACCCCTCACACGTGTCGTGGCCACATAGGGGCTCCGCCGAAGGTCCCAGTGGCACAGTCCGCATGCGTTCCCGCCACTCATTTCGGCCCACCCTCACACGTTTTTTTGGCCCCATTGGAGTTCTGCCGACGGTCCCAGTGGCACAGTCCGCATGCGCCCCCGCCACTCATGTCTGCCCACCCCTCACACGTTTCGTGACCCCACAGGAGCTCCGCCGAAGGTCCCCGTGGCACAGTCCGCATGCGTTCCCGCCACTCATTTCGGCACACCCCTCCCACGTTTCGTGGCCCCACAGGAGCTCCGCCGAAGGTCCAAGTGGCGCAGTCCGCATGCGTCCCCGCCACTCATTTCGGCACACCCCTCACACGTTTCGTGGCCCCATATGAGCTCCGCCGAAGGTCCCAGTGGCACAGTCCGCATGCGTCTCCGCCACTCATTTCGGAACACCTCTCACACGTTTTGTGGCCCCACAGGGGCTCCGCCGAAGGTCCCAGTGGCGCGGTCCGCATGCGTCCCCGCCATTCATTTCGGCCCATCCCTCAAACGTTTCGTGGCCCCATAGGAGCTCCGCCGAAGGTCCCCGTGGCACAGTCCGCAGTCGTCCCCGCCACTCATTTCGGCCCACCCCTCACAGGTTTCGTGGCCCCATATGAGCTCCGCCGAAGGTCCCAGTGGCACAGTCCGCATGCGTCCCCGCCACTCAGGTCGGCACACCCCTCACATGTGTCGTGGCCACATAGGGGCTCCGCCGAAGGTCCCAGTGGCACAGTCCGCATGCGTCCCCGCCACTCATTTCGACCCACCCCTCACACGTTTCGTGGCCCCACAGGAGCTCCGCCGAAGGTCCCCGTGGCACAGTCCGCATGCGTCCCCGCCACTCATGTCTGCCCACCCCTCACACGTTTCGTGACCCCACAGGAGCTCCGCCGAAGGTCCCCGTGGCACAGTCCGCATGCGTCCCCGCCACTCATGTCTGCCCACCCCTCACACGTTTCGTGGCCCCACAGGAGCTCCGCCGAAGGTCCCAGTGGCACAGTCCGCATGCGTCCCCGCCGCTCATTTCGGCACACCTTTCACACGTTTCGTGGCCCCTCACACGGCTCGGGCGATGCCGTCGGGGAGTCCTGGGGAAGCTCCTTGCGGCGGCCACGCCCAGCGTCACGAGTATCCAACGGCAGTCATTCTCAAACTATTGACATTCATCTACAAGTACACCAGGTGTTGTCATACTCGCATTCGTGCACGTAGACTCGCGCGCACGCATATCCATTCACAGTCAGACGCACTCGCGCTCATATTCACCCGCGCTCAGTCTCCCTACGTACTCAGATCAATCGTTTTCGTTCGCGTCGTGTACCACGCCGCTCATTTCGGCACACCCCTAGCACGGTTCGTTGCCTCATAGGGATCACCACCGAAAAAGTGAGTCAACATTGCGGTACTCACACCTGCATATGGCTGGTTTCTTCGTCAGGCGAATTCAATTGTCCATTACAGTCGGGGGGTCGATTGCGCGGACATTCCCGCGGACGTTGTCCGCGTCAGGTCGCGCGTGAACGCCCTCGCTGTCCGTGTGGCGTGCGGCGCTGGCGGCCCGCGTACGCCGCGACGTCAGTTCGCTATGCCATCTCGCGGAAGACCCGTTTCTTCTCGTCGCTCACTTCGATCCGCCTCGTCCGCCTCGATGTCGATTCCGATCGATCCGATCCGATCCGATACCGATTTTCGGGGTATCCTCGGACGGGGCTTGAACGGGAAGAAGTCGCGACCCGGAGCGCTCTCAGAGTCAAGGGAGGAGAAACCACCCGGACCAGACAATTGGCGTTTACTAAATGGCCTTGGGTGTTTACTAAACAGCCCTGCCCTGTTTGATTCCTTCTTTGGGCGCGTTTACTAAAAAACTTCGCGTGCTGGGGTGCTTATTATGGGGGTGGATTTTTTGGCTTCTACAGAGCGTTCTTAAGCGCTCTGGAATGGCCCGGGTCCATCGCGATGCGATCAGCGCGTTCCGTTACCCAGACCTCCGACGATATGATTTTATTCCATCCAGGGGTGTTTTTTTCTTCAATTTCGGCCTCGCGGCCATCGAAAAGGATCCAGGGCGAAAAACTGCTCCCAGGAAGGGGTCGGGACCTCTGGGGCCGTGCATTGACAAACGCCACACCGGCCGCCTCCATCCGATCCGGTTCCGATTTTCGGGCCTTCCGATGCGGCCTGATGCTCGCATGGTGCTGGTATGCAGCCCGGCGCGGCCGATCCGATCCGACTCCGACTCCGTGCTGACGCGGCCCAATCCGACGCACGTTTCGATTTGGTCCGATTTCCCGGTTCGATGGTGACTGATCCTGCCTGGAGGTCAGGGAGGCGCTCCACGTTGCTCCCGACGCAAACTATTTCTACGGGGACAACGGCGTCGGCTTCACCTACGTCGGCACGGAGCCCGATCTGGTCGAGGACACCTACAAGCGGTGGGCCTCGGAGAACATGGCGGGGGGCAACAGGACTGCGCTGAGGATGCTGATCTACAACGGCGACACTGACCCAGGCTGGGGCACGCCCATCATGCACCCGCACACCGATCCTGGCCAGGAGTCCAGTCCAGGGTCGGTGTGTATGACCCCCTGGAGAGGCCAGGAGCGTACACACCGACGCTGGGCCCGGGATAGCCCCGACCGAGATCAGCGCCGCTGCACACCCGTGCCCCCGACGTCGTGCTTGTTCGAATCCGTAGGGTCCAGGGCGTGCTGGACCCAGTGACTGGCACTGGGAATCTCGAATCACCGGATCTAGCTCGCCCGAACGCGGCGCAGGTTGGCTCGAGGAGGAGGAGAAGGCGGAGGAGGATCGAGGCGGAGGAGGATTCAGGATCGAGGAGGAGGAGGAGGAGGAGGAGGAGGAGGAGGAGGAGGAGGAGGAGGCGCCCGAACGCGGCGCAGGTTGGCTCGAGGCTACGCCAACTCGCCGCAGCGAAAAGGCAGCGCAGCCAGCGCTTCTGGCACGCTGCCTGGGTGCTGCTCTTCGCACTGCTGTATGGGGTCGGGCCTCCGGGCCTCTCAGGAGGAGGAGGAGGAGGAGGAGGAGGAGGAGGGGAGGAGGAGGGAGGAGGAGGAGGATGAGGAGGAGGAGGAGGAGGAGGAAGAGGACGGATCGCTGCGGGGCGCTCCCGGGGCCCTTCCGGAGCGCCCCGCAGCGGCCCCCCGCGCCCGGTGCGCGCGCCCACCGAGCCCGCCGGCTCTCGGAGGCTCCCGGCGTGCTCTGATTTGGCGCAGCGTCGCGCCTCGGACGCCCCGACCCCTGCCCCGGAGCCGGCCCTCTTCCTCCTCCTCCTCCTCCTCCTCCGCCTCCTCCTCCTCCTCCTCCTCCGCCTCCGCCTCCGCCTCCGCCTCCGCCTCCTCCTCCCCTCCTCCTCCTCGCCTCCTCCTCCTCCTCCTCCGCCTCCGCCTCCGCCTCCGCCTCCGCCTCCTCCTCCTCCTCCTCCTCCTCCGCCTCCTCCTCCTCCTCCTCCTCCTTCTCCGCAAAAAGACGCCATAAGCATAAACTTTTGGCGCTCCGCGCGGATTTCTTGGATCTGCGCTGGACCCCCCTCCCTGGCGCGCTCCGCGCGCCAGGGGCGGCGCCGGAGGCGCTGCCAGGTGGGTCGCAGCGCGGATCCAAGAAATCCGCGCGGAGCGCCAACAGTTTATGTGTACGGCGTTTTTTCTTCTTGGAAGGAAGGGGCCGAACACGTCCTGTTCCGACGGTCCTGTTTCGACGGGCCTGGGGCCCGGCGGGGGCCCTCCAGGTGCCGCAGTTGGAGCCACGAGCCTTTGCCCCCCCCCCCCCCCCGCCCCGACGCGAGGAGGTCCAGTCCGGGTGCCGTCGTCCCCAGATTTCAGACGTCGGTGTTTTCCTCACGGCGTGGACCCCCAGAGGCCTCGGGCCTATAGGACCCCTTCCCTGTGGGGCCGGTTTCTCATCCCGAGTCGCCTGTTGGCGGTCTTGGGGCCCGGCGAGGGTTCCCAGAGGCAGAACATTGCACACAGCGTCCCGCTGCCATTTTTGTGCTGCTTTCGCAGCGCGAGGAGGCCCCCCGGAGGCCGCAGATGGCCACACGCCTCGCGTCGGCTTCGAGGGAGGAGGAGGAGGGGGAGGTGGATCGAGGATCGAGGATCTCGTGAGGATCGAGGAGGAGGTGGAGGAGGTGGAGGAGGAGGAGGAGGAGGAGGAGGAGGAGGAGGAGGAGGAGGAGGATGTGGAACAGGTGAAGGAGTAGTTGGATTGAGGATCGAGGATCGAGGAAGCGGTGGATCGAGGATCGAGGACGGGGAGGAGGAGGAGGAGGATGAGGAGAGGGAGGAGGATGAGGGTGAGGATGAGAGGAGGAGGAGGAGGAGGAGGAAAGAAGAGGTGGATCGAGGATCGAGGAGGACGAGAAGGCGGAGGAGGATCGAGGATCGAGGAGGAGGAGGCGGAGGAGGATTCAGGATCGAGGAGGAGGAGGAGGAGGAGGAGGAGGAGGAGGAGGAGGAGGAGGAGGAGGAGGAGGAGGAGGAGGTGGAGCTTCGAGGATCGGGGCCCGCGACCCTGTTGCAGCGGGAGGCGGCTGTCGTGCCGCCGCCGCCGCTCGGGCGGGGGCCCCGCCGCGGGCCAGAGCGGTGCCCAGAGCGGCCGGCCGCCCGTGCGCCTCCTCGGGGGGCGCCGGGGGCCGCGGCCCCCCCTTGGCGAGGCGTCCTGGCGTGCCTATATCGGGGAAGCGCCGGGCCTGGGGCCAGACGACGAGGCGAGGAGGAGGAGGAGAGGAGGAGGAGGAGGAGGAGGGGAAGGAGGAGGAGGAGGAGGAGGAGGAGGAGGAGGAGGCGAGGGTTGGCAGGGGGTGGGGGGGGGGGGAGGGCTTCTTAAAAACACCCCTGCTTCTGAGAAGGCGCGGGCCTTCTCTATCGATGCAAGGGCCGGCCCTTCTAAGAAGCAGCCTGCTTCTAAGAAGCCCTCCCCCCTCCCCCCACCCTTTTGTGCGCGCCGCGGCCCCCCCTTGGCGAGGCGTCCTGGCGTGACTACAGTGAGCGGCTTGAGTAAGGAACACTTGCTTTTCAAAAGGGGCTCGGTCGTTCCTCAGGCTTGCATGCGTGATTTGCAGTTCCTTATGCGTCAGTTGTTATTTACCGTTCCTGATTCCTTGGGATAAAAAAGGGGCTGCGTTCCTTATTTGTCGTTCCTTAGGTCAGGCCGATGACTGTAAAAAACGACGCGAAGATCGGGACAAAATCGGATCGGGATAACTCGAAATCTCCGAGACTCGGCGGGTTTGGAGGATGTATTGCGCGCCGCGGCCGCTCCAGAGCGTTCCGGAACGCTCTGAGAGCGCTCCGGAACGCTCTGGAGCGATTTATTCCGATCCTGGCCCTGTTTTACTATAGGCCTAAGCTCGGGGGTGGACAGACCTCCTACCCTGACACGTCGATTCAGGAGTTGGCCGTGTTCGGTTCGCGAGAGGGCGCCGCGGCCGTCGTTTTTGCGGGTCCAGGTCCGTCGGTTTCGGTCCCAGGCCGTCTTCACTGAGGGGAGTTTTACTAAAGGGAGGTTTGTCCAACGCCGATTTTGTGGTTCCACGAAATGTTCTTAGAACATCTTTGGCTGGGACTGTCTTGTTTTAACACATCGGTTTTGTGTGCGAAGAGCATTGTTCTTGTTACGTTTTGGGGTTCTAAGAACATTCGTGGTAGGCCTATAGGAATGCCGGGACGGTCGGTCCCTGCTCAACTCTAGTTGTAGGGCCCGTTCGATTCGATCGATTCGATTCGGCTGGCGCAGCCGATCCGATGAGATGTTGACCCTGTGCCGGTGCAGCCCGGTCCGATGCCCATAAACATGAAGTCGGGCATGTCCCTCTACGGGAGGTAGAGTCAAACATCGTACAACAAATAGTCCGGTGAGGATTTTGTAAGTATTATTCCACTGCTTCTGAGAATTGTCTGCGTATTTTTCATCGGTCCTGATAATATTTGAGTATTGTTTTGAGTTAAAACCTTTCGCCCCAAATCGGCCAGTATCGGGGAAGCGTAAGACTCGAGTAAGCCGGAACTCGGGTTTGCCCACTTTTTTTGACGAGCGCGTCCTGGATTTTGACGGTCCCGTTTTCGTGGGACGTCTGCAGCGGGAGCGGGCGTCAGATTTCAAATTGGGTCTCGTCCCTTTTATGATGGCCCCCGTCAGGCCAACCCGAGTCCCCCGTGCCCGAGTCTTACGTCCCCCCGACTGTAGGGTTTCTGCCCCACCGAGGGGCCCATTCCTCGATACATGGGCGCCTCCGGGCGCCGGGAGGCGCCAGGAAAAGCAGCTAGGTGAGCTGATTCTCCCCCCCCCCCTTTGCTATCCCCTGGCATCGCTCGGACGTGTGCGTTTTTCTTTCTCGGCGAGGACCCTCGAGGAGCATCCTTGCTCATTTGGCGACAAAAACCACGCACGACACCGAGAAAAGCACAGGGAAGGGGCGTCCGAGCGATGGCGAGTATCCCCACCTGTCGCCCTTTCTAGCAGGACCATCGAGGAGCATCCTGGATCCTTTGGCGACAGAAGCCACGCACGACACCGAAGAATAGCACAGGGAAGGGGCGCCCGAGCGATGGCGAGTATCCCCCCCCGGTCGCCCTGCCTAGCAGGAGGGCTCGGCGCGGTCTGCCGACCCGCTGCGGACCTCGAGACATGGGCGCCTCCGGGCGCCGGGAGGCGCCGGGAAAAGCAGCTAGGTGAGCTGATTCTCAGACCCCCCCTTTGCTATCCCCTGGCATCGCTGGGACGTGTGCATTTTTCTTTCTCGGCGAGGACCCTTGAGGAGCATCCTTGCTCATTTGGCGACAGAAACCACGCACGACACCGAAACAAGCACAGGGAAGGGGCGTCCGAGCGATGGCGAGTATCCACCCCCCGGTCGCCCTGCCTAGCAGGAGGACTCGGCGCGATCCGCCGACCCGCTGCGCGGACCGCTCCCGCCCCCGCCGCCATCGCCGGCGGCGCGCACCTCCGGGGTGGGGGGGGGCGGCGCGGGCGGAGCGCCCTCCGGAGGAGCCGCGGGGGCTGCAGGGGAGGCATTTGTGGATTTTCGGGGGCGGAAGAGACGGGGGAGGGGGAGGAGGAGGAGGAGGAGGAGGAGGAGGAGGAGGGAGGAGGAGGAGGAGGGAGGAGGGAGGAGGAGGAGGAGAGGAGGAAGGAGGAGGAGGAGGAGAGGAGGAGGAGGAGGAGGAGGAGGAGGAGGAGGAGAGGAGGGGGGAGGAGGAGGAGGAGGGAGGAGGAGGAGGAGGAGGAGGAGGAGGAGGAGGAGGAGGAGGAGGAGGAGGAGTGGAGGAGGAGGAGGAGGAGGAGGAGGAGGAGGAGGAGGGGAGGAGGAGGAGGAGGAGGAGGAGGAGGAGGAGGAGGACGAGGAGGAGGAGGAGGAGGAGGAGTGGGAGGAGGGGGAGGAGGAGGAGGAGGAGGTACGCAGCCTGGGAGGGATCCGTCGCGCGGCGCGCAAACGGCCACTCAAACCGGGGGGAAGACCAAAGCCCTCCCCCTGGCCTGCACGGGCGCTCACCC